TTAGTTTTTTTTTTTTTTTTTTTTTTGCGAGGGTCTAAGTTGCCTGGGCTGTTTTCAGAATTGCATCATCCTGCTTTGACCTCCTGAGTAGCTGAGATTATAGGTGTGAGCCAACCATGCCAACCTCAGAAAATAATGTTTTCTTGGTTTTGCTACCTGAGAGGGGCTACTGCTTTTCCTTTATTTTCACTTCAAAATACAGTATCTAAGGAAAGGGAGACTTATGCTGCTGACCATAATGAGGTAACTCTTAGATTAGTATCAACTACAAGACTGGACAAGATATTGTAGGCAGCTGTTTTCAGGCAGCACAAGACTACAGTCTCAGTGGAAACAGTTATCAAGTCCCATGGTCACAAAGCATCCTGTGGTGTAAAAAGGCCAGAGGCAGAGCAGAGCAGAATGGCTCTGCTGAGTTAAGAAGACAGACATTATAGTGGGGAACAGCTCAAAAGTTGGAACCTGGGCCGGGGATTTAACTCAGTGTTGCCACTACCTGCCTTGCAAGCGAGAGGACCTGAGTTGATCCCCAGTACCAAAAAAAAAAAGGAACTTGTCTCTAAAAAGTTAGAACTATGTAGTGGGGCAAACAAAAGGGGCAGCTATTCAAGAAGCATTCTTCAGAAATTCCAGGGGCCTGGCTTGGTGGCCTAGCATTTAGGAGGCTGAGCCAGGAGGATCACTGAGTTCCAGGCCAGCATGGGCTGTGTAGTGAGTTTAAGAACTGCATAGTGAGACCCTGTCTCAAAAACCAAAAGAGGGCCAGGGATTGTGTCTCCGCCTACCTCAAAAGTGCAAGGTTCCAAGTTCCATCTCCGATGTAGAAAAGAGAAGAAAAAAAAAGCTGGGTGTGGTGGCACATACCTGTAATCCCTGCATTTGGGAGGCTGAAGCAGGAGGGTCCCTGCGAGTTTAAAACCAGCCTGGGCTACATAGTGAGTTCCAGGGCAGTCTCAACTCTATAGTGAGACCCTGTCTCAAAAAACCAAAAAAAAAAAAAAAAAACCAAAAAAGTCGCATTAACATAGGGCTGAGAATTTAGCTCAGTGATGTCCCTGCCTGCCTCGAAAGCACAAAATGCTGAGTTGATCCCTGGTACATAAATAAATAAATATTAAACTACATTAACATGCACACCATAGGTTTACCACCACTGCCCTAAAAGGGACACCTGTTCTACACTGCTTCTAATAAAGCCTAACATAAAGCCCTTGACAATACTGTGTACCTCGGTTCACTAATGCTTGTGAACAATTTGGATTGCAAACAAGTATTTGGAAAAATTTTGTTTTTGTTTACAAAATTTTGTTTTTGTCAGGTGATAAACAACCATGGCCACCTTTCCTGCACAAACATAAATGTGGCCATGTTTTCCACTGTATTGGTAAGTGAAATAGTGTGTGGGGATTGGATCCTGCACTGAGGTTTGTAAAACTTCTTGGGCTTTCCACAGATATGAGCTAAGATACACAAGTTTAGTGACCACTCAGTTACTGGAATGCTTACTTTAAAAAAAAAATCAGCACTTTTTAGAGAAGATAACAGAATCCAGTCTCTGTAACGTTGTTTATACCATCCAGTATTGGAAATGTTAAGAAACCTAGAAATGTGGGTTTGGGATTTGTTGAGAATTAATAGACATGGGGCCAGGAATTTAGTTTAGTGGCACCACACCTGCCTGGCAAGTGCAAGGTCCTGAGTTTGATCCCTGGTTAAAGGAAAAAAAAAAAAAAAGGCCAGATGTGGGAGCGCACGCCCGTAATCCCAGCACTTGGATGGGGGGAGCTGAGGCAAGAGCATCTCCATGAGCTTGAGGACAGTTTGGGCCATGCCTGAAATATATACTGAGACCCTGTCTCAAAACAACAACAACAAAAATTTAACAGACCTGAAACCAGGCATGGTAATCCTAGCTACTTGGGAGTCTGAGGCAGGAAGATCAAAAAGAGGCCAGCCTTCTGAGTTCAATTCCCAGGGCCATACACACGCACACAAGTACATATATAAACAGACACAGGTTGGGAGTATAACTCTGATACAGTGTGTGCTTAGTATAAGTGAGATCGATGCCCAGTACCAAGAGAGTGACAGCTGTCACTGGGCATGGTGGCCCCTGCCTTGAAGCACTCAGGAGGCTGAGGCAGGAAGTCTGCTAAAAGTTCTACACCAGTGGCCATGTAGTGAGTTCTAAGCCAGTCTTGCTTGAACTACATAGCAAGACACTGTCTCAAAAAAAAAAAAAAAATAAGTAAGTAAAATGAATGGATAGCTCTTAAGATGCTGGCCATCCCACCTCTAACACAAAATCGCATGATGACAGGAGAATGGTCATTATTTCAGCAACTTACCGAGTATCTAGTAGGTAGAGAAAATCGTTCAGAGCGCTAGAGTTAAAGTAGTCATGAAATCTCTCATGAAATATGCGAGAGACAGACAAGAAATTATGGTCTGTATTTATTTACTGGGGGGATTAGGAAGTGGTTACTTACTGAACCTGGGGTATACTAGATACACAACCACTTTTAAATTTACATATTTTGGGGCAGGGATTTAGCTCAGCAGCACTGCGCCTGCCTCGCAAGTGCAAGGTCCTGAATTCAATCCCTGATACCAAAAATAAATAAGTTTACATATTTTAATTCAGTTTTGGAGTCTTTTCACACAAACACATATCTTCACATATAATAGTTGTCCTAAAGTGAAACAAGTCACCTTATGGATAAACTGTTGGAAATATTTTCATCTGAGGTTGAAATAGTTTGTCCTGAAGATTTAAAAAAATGTAACAAGCTTAAATTAATTATATAAAACTTGTTACTTCCTGCAAAGATCAAAAAATAAAGTACAAGTAACTAATATATATTAGTCACAACACAATCCAGGATCATTCGCACACCAAAACAGGATGCTCCTTTAAAAAATTTTTTTTCACACGGGATCTTGCTGTGTAGTTCAGGCTGGTCTTGAACTCACTATATAGCCCCGCCTGTCCTCTGTCCTCAGACTCATGGAGATCCTCCTCCCTCAGCCTCCAGAGGGCTTGGGTGGCAAGCATGTACAACTATACTGGCACTCCTTTAATTTTAAAATCATAATCAGAGGTGAAAAGAAAGTCTTCATTTTATATAAAACAAATTTCACATGTGCTC